AGCACCGAGCCCAGCACCGGTCGGTGCTGGGCTCTAGGACCTGTTTTGGTGAACCGTGGTGCATGCGCGGGGCCGTAACACCGTGGCTTCACCACTGACACTGACCCATTTCTTTTTCTTTTTTTTTTCACAAGCACCACTGTTGTTTTTGAATGTATTGTGATTTATTTTGTAAGATCGCGATCGAGCTTGGGTGGGTGTTAACCTTTCATAGTTAGAACTGGATCATTAAAGAGGTTCTCACCCCCGCTCCTCTTTTGTTTACGTCACTCACATTTCCTGTTCAAATCTTCCTCTAAATGGGCGTGGCCTGGAGGACTAAAGGGGGCGTGAACGAGACTGGGCCGTTTACATTGCTCTGGGCGGGGGGCTGCTGACGTCAGGTCTTGCTTCAGACGTCAGGTCTTGCTGCCGCGCCAGTGTTGGCGCCAGATTCAAAATTAAAATGTAGTAATACAGGTCGCCAGCAGATGGCGCCTCACAGACGGTTTTAGGCAGAAAGTTTAACTTTCAACTAATTTGCACCAAAGTGACAAAATTATGACCAGGATATGTAGACAACACTATTGGACACTCATTTATACCGTTTATCAGCAAAAAAAAGTGGATTTGAGGGTGAGTTGTCCTTTAATAAACAGCCAGTTTTGGGCCAAATGCATGATCTGTACCTGTGCTTATTTCACTCTCTGGTGTCTTGGAAAAGATTGTTACATGCTTGTTTAACAAATGGCTCCAGTATCGGCTTAATTTTTTCAAAGTGGAAACAGAGTTGACGGATGAAACGATGCTAGCCGGTTTTGTCGCTGTCTGTTTGGTTTTGTCACTCCCAACAGCCTTTTTGTAGCAGATTCTTTTCAGAGATTGTTTGTTAATCATGACTTCTTTGTCCGGACCCAATCAAACGTCTGTGCAGACTGTGGTACGACGAACGCACAAATTAGCGATTAATGTGTTGTCTAGACGGCAACAACAAAAGCTGAGAGAAAACCAGAGACACGGACCGTTTGGCGAAATCTCATTCTTCTATTTTTGGACGGATGATTGTTATTAGGCAGCAGTTTTCTTATCAAAGTCTACATGATCAGTCCACAGTGGTTCAAACTATAGACGCAACACAAGCTTGTGCTTTGAATCTATCTGTCATCTCTCGGTCAGTCTGGCGAATGGGAAATACCATCTCACAGAAAGAAAAATGGTACAATCCAAGCTTCTCTGATCAAGATATATCCAAGTAATACTGTGACCAAGAAACAATACTTTTGTTTAAAGTTGGGAAAATATTATTAACGACAATCCAAGCAGAACACAAGACTCAGGGCATAAACATAGACACATAAGACTTTTCAGGATTAGAGTTTGGACACATCTGATTGGACAGCTAAAGAACTGATCATAGAAAAAAGGAAATGGCTGCAGAAAAGAGAATACTAAAAGTGTTTAATATTTTTTGTCTTTCACCTAAAATTGCAGTGAAACGCAAGAGACAAATAACAAGAACATTAATGACAGTCAAATGCATATATTTATATACTTGTTTGTTGTTCTTGTTGAATGTTGATGTGTCTGTTTAGTTGTCTTTAATAAAGGAAACAAATAAAAAGTAACTATCATTCATCTTATCAACATGGATATCGCACGTACCGATATCTCAATGACGATATTTATTCAATATATCACGCAGCCCTAATGGGAAAGTCATCAACAGCAGCAACCGCCCAATAGGGGCACCTGCTGTCTCCCATCACAGCACTAACCAGGCCCTGCCCTGCACAGCTTCAGAGGTTTCACCAGCAGATATGGCCAGATAAGTGCTGTTTTTATTGTTAGCTTTTCATCATTTGGAAAACCACATACAAATAACCTGTCTCAATCTAGTGTATTTTGAGCAATGATAGAAAGTTCAATGCATCAGATCTGACAAACAAGAGAAAGAAAATCCAGATGTCCAGGATCTACTTTATGCATGCAACTTTGGCCAGTCTATAGCACTACATAGTCATAATATAATACACAACTTACCATCCATCCAAACATCCATCCATCTTCTTCCCCTTAATCCATGTCTGGGTCGGGGGTGGCAGTCAGAGCACCGGCCCCTCACTGATCCTCCTGCAGGTGCTGAGTCCACAGGAGCTGAGATCTTTCAGTGGGGGCTTCAGGCAAAGTGGGGTTAAGTGTCTTGCCCAAGGACACAACGACAGCAGTCATCCAGTGTCGTGTAGATACGACATCATGTTTTTTTCGTTTCTGTTGGCGACTGTTGTCAATAAAAATAAAGTCACAACTTACATTTACCCAAATACAACACCTTTTCACCTTTTCTTCCATTCCCACTCCTCCTCTAACCACATCCAACTGTTGTGTGTTTAAAGCTGTATCCATCCTCCATCATACGATATCCACAGTCTATAATTATAAAACTACACTCGCTGTCTTCTTCGTTTGAGTCACAAAGAAGCCCAAAAGCAGCAGTCCTCCAGGGATCCTCCACCCCGCCTGCGTGTCCTTGAGCTGGACGTCCCACGAGGAGACAGCAGCGAGACGGCATCTCTGAGGACCCTACACCACTCTCGCTTCTCCCCGGGTGATGCCTGTGGGAGAATAATGTTTATATATCCACAGAAAAATTCAACATGTTTCCTTACACTCTTAGTCTTTTACCGGCAGTTTGTACAAGAGCACGCTGAAATGAAAAGTTTGTGTAATTCAGGCACATTTACTTCATGAGTTTGGAGGTAAAACTCAAGGTCATATTTGCATGAAGCTGTGCCTGTTTCGTCTGAAGCTGTGCAGGGCTGGGCCTGGTTAGTGCTGTGATGGGAGACTCGGTGCCACAGTGGGGCGACTGCGGCTGTAAAGTGACAAACTATTGTTGTGTCCTTAGGCAAGACACTTCCCCCCACATTAGAAGCCTGGTGCGTGTGTGTGTGTGGATGGTTGGTGGTGGTGGGAGGGGCCGGTGGGCAGCTGTGGCTACAGTAGTAATTCATCACCACCGTGTATGGCGTGAAAGAATAATAACATGTGAAGCAGCTTTGAGTGTCCAGAAAAGCGGTATATAAAACCGATGCATTATTATCATTATAACTGGACTGTGCAAAATGAAATATTAAATTGTATTAAAGACATTATTAAAGATCTGATTATGTTCAGAGAAAGACATTATTTATTGCCCCGTGGTCTTCAAAGGTTCTTCTCTGTAAAAGATGAAAACAGCAGAATCTGGATTTGAAAATGCCTTTTGCAAGAACAACACTCAAACAAATGTCTCATGTGCTGGTGTGAAACTGTGGAACTCTGGACAAAGAACTGAAAACATGTTCAAATAAATTACAATTTAAGTTTAAATGTAAACAAAAAATGATCAAATCCTGTGTTAAATGAAGTGAGAACTATAATTGTTTTTGCATTAGTTGTATTTGTTCTATTTTGACACGAAGCCATCTATGTTTATTGTCTCACTGTCAGAAGACTGGGGCAGGGGTTTAATTAAGACTTGGTCTTCTTCCTGCTCCAGTTCTTTATGTGACTGTAATGTTATATAAGATGAAATAAATGAATGAATGAATAAAAACTTTCACTGGTCGGATGTTACGTAACCTCGGCTCACAGCGAGGCAACAGGAAGAAGGATAGGCAGGCGGAGAGGTTTTCTGCTCTGAGGCAAAACCACTTTTTCTTCTTCTTTATTTTAGATTTACCTTGGCAGCTCAGGTGCACAGGCCCCAGACCCTCTCGGCCAGGACCAGGTGTCTGCGATAACAAAGAGTGAGAGTGCACATTCTGGGCCGAGCTCTCAGCCAATCAGCAGCACCGCCCCAGTAACAGAAGGTAAAAAACACAGAGGGGGGAGGGTGCACACGTCCTGCAGTATCTGTATCATCCATGTGGATGATGAAGGTCGACAACCAGTTTTAACTTCTGCCTCGGTTTCCTCAGAGTGGTCACGTGATGTTCCTGTCATTTTGTTTTTTTCAATTTTCATCCCTTTTTTATCAATTTCTAGGTCAGGGGGAATACAGAGCTGCCACCCATTTCACAAAGCACCAGCCCCTCGCTGATCAGACTGGACTTTCAATACAAAGTCAATGTTGACGTTTGAGCGTGGAACTGCGTTTGGGCACAAACGCACGGAGTGCGGCGCCGAGACGCAGGAGCGTGGACTCGACACACGCAGGAGAGGAACGTCGCTGTACTTTTCACCGACCAATCAGAGAGCACGCACACAACTGACCTGATCACACCATGTACACACCAGGTACACGCCATGTACACACCATGTACACACCATGTACACACCATGTACACGCCATGTACACACCATGTACACACCATGTACACGTCAGGTACACGCCATGTACACGCCATGTACACACCATGTACACGCCATGTACACGTCAGGTACACGCCATGTACACACCATGTACACACCATGTACACACCAGGTACACACCATGTACACACCATGTACACGCCATGTACACACCATGTACACGCCATGTACACGCCATGTACACGCCATGTACACACCATGTACACACCAAATACACACCATGTACACACCATGTACACGTCAGGTACACGCCATGTACACGCCATGTACACACCATGTACACGCCATGTACACGTCAGGTACACGCCATGTACACGCCATGTACACGCCATGTACACACCATGTACACGTCAGGTACACGCCATGTACACGCCATGTACACACCATGTACACGTCAGGTACACGCCATGTACACGCCATGTACACACCATGTACACGTCAGGTACACGCCATGTACACGCCATGTACACGCCATGTACACGCCATGTACACGTCAGGTACACGCCATGTACACGCCATGTACACACCATGTACACGCCATGTACACACCATGTACACACCATGTACACGCCAGGTACACGCCGTGTACACGCCAGGTACACGCCATGTACACGCCATGTACACGCCATGTACACACCATGTACACGCTGAGAAAGAACAGGAACCGAATGTTTGAAATGGACGACCACGCTGTTGCTAGCTTGATCGTTGCCGTTGCTAACTTTGTGGATCTGAAGGAGAACATACCGGAGTACAGCGACCGCTTGAAGAAGGACCTTACCCGGAAGTCAAGAAGCGACAACCTCAACCTCCCGGTAAGTTTTCAGAATAGCATTAATTGTGTGAATCTTTTGTGTCTGTTAATGAAAATGATCTTCTGTGAATTACATGAATGAGGTTAGGATCTTTTTCTTCTTGTCATTAAAATGTGTATTGTACAATTACCATACATTACATGTGAGCAGATAGAAGAATTCATATGCATTTCTTTGCCTCCTCTTTTGCAACACAGATTAAATGGTCACATCAAATGTATTGGCATTGTAAAATCCTCAACAGCTAAACAGTGTCTCAGCGGGGGCTTCAGGCAAAGTGGGTTTTTAAAGTGTCTTGCCCAGGGATACAACGACAGCAGACATTAGTCGGAGCAGCTGACATGGGTTGTGCAGGATTTGAACCCATGGCCATTAGCCCCAAGAACCAATGCTCTACCCACTGAGCCACTGTCGCTCCCTCAACTTGTAGAATCAGAAAATCAGATGAATCTCGTGGATGATAAACCATGATCATGTGACTCCCTCGGAAACTTCTGTAAACAATGTTGAATGTCAGAAGTTTGTTATGACCCTTTTATGGACACAGGACAATCTTTCACACTTATGTCCACATTCCAGTCCGTCCTTGCCTTATACCGGGTCTGCAGTAAGACAAAGGCTATTATAGTTTTTGGTGATTTTAATTTTGTTTTATTTTATTCAGTAAGAAAACTACAAATGTAATCTGTGTATGTATAAAAAGCAGTGATTTGTCTTCTATTGGTATGTCTCCTGCTTGAGAATAATGCATTCCTCGGTGTGGTTCATTAAAACGAAAAGAGATTTGTTGGTGCCAATAATAAAAACGTAAAAAATACTAAATTAAAGTGCATTGCCCCGCCCTCATGATTAGACCTATTCCTTTATAATCCTTTGACATATTAGCTCTCTCCCCATTGGTGTAACTATTCTCTTCCAGCTAATCGTACTGTTGGTGATTGTTCTAACCACCAGTAATTATTATTAAGTGTATTATTCTATCACCTTTAAGAGTCTACGAGGTAAATATTGCTATCAATGCAGAGGCTGAATTGCAAAGGTAATCAATTAGCACTTAGCAGAGGAGTTAAAGGGGCGCTAATCACTTTTTGCAGTCATCCCAATCCGTAGCTGCTAGCTTGTGTGCCAGCTGCTGAACCCAGACCTCATCAGAAATACATATGCCAGTGCGGACTCCATTTTTCTCATCTGGAGTCTACTGTTGCGGCACAAAAACATGAATTTCCCCGCGCGCCGTACAAACCCGGCTTCTGCAGCCCCGGTGGATGCACTCTCCGTTTATGAGTGACAGAGGCCCAGGGTCAAACTGGCTTTTTCCACCGCGCTGACAGAATGACAATCAAATAAAAGAGTTTCAAACATCGATACTTCACATGAACAGCACTCAGGCCCTAGAACAGCCGAGCGTTCTCCTCTGTCACCGAAATGAGAGGAGGGACCGATGGCTCTGGATCCACCCTGGGAAATGACAATCAATGTAAACGGCAAGAAAAATGGAAAGAAAACATCAAAACGGCGAGAAAGAGAAGAGATTGCGGATTCTCTTGATGATGTGTTATAATTAGCAGTCTATCAAACGTTTCATGATTACAATCGTTTTGTTGATTAGTCCCAGTATTTAGATTCTGCGGCAGATGGCAAATGCATTGGTGTGTTTCATTGCTGTAATAATTTTGAGAAGTGATTTCATTAGATAGATAATTGGATAGGAACACGGTTGCGCATATGTTTCGACATTGCTCCCTGTCGTAAAACATATTAGGGCGGCACGGTGGCTGAGTGGATAGCACTCTCGCCTCTCAGCAAGAAGGTCCTGGGTTCAAATCCCGGTTGGACCAGGGCCTTTCTGAGTGGAGTTTGCATGTTCTCCCCGTGTCTGCGTAGGTTTCCTCCGGGTGTTCCGGTTTCCCCTACCACTAAAAATATGTACAATAGGTATGGCATGTGCCTCCTGTACTGGCACCCCCACTCCCAAAAAAATAACAATTGTAAACCGCTTTGAGACTCCGATGTGCAGTGAAAAGGCGGTATATAAATAAAAGCTTACTTACTTACATATAATCGTTTAATCATTGATAATATCAGGAGTTTTCTACACAGTCTCATCCCTTCCCCTCAGGACGCTCTGTGTTGAATCTGTCTGATCTGTGAGAAAGACGCACAGGGAGAGGTATTATCGAGGAGGTTTGACCCAACAAAATGCAACTTTGATTCCTTCAAATTAAGACTTGGGCCCTGTTTAGACGAAGGCGCCGCGCAGACGCTGTAAAGTGATTAATAGAAACGAGCAGGCTCCAAACTCACAGCGTTCTTAAGAGGATGAAAAACAATGCAGTTCTAGCGCATGGCCAGTAGGGGGCAGAGGAATATTACAACATGACACACGTTACCCCCAGCTAGAGTTTCGCTTTTCAGCCCGAGCCCGAGCGGGCCCGAGGCCCGACCTGAGTTCGGGCCGGGCTTGGGCCTCATTTGGCGCTCAGATGTCGGGTTCGTGCCGGGCTCGGGCTTCTTTTTTTAAATATATGTTTCTTTTTTATTATTCCATCCATCCATTTTCTTCCCTTTAATCCATTTCTGGGTCAGGGGGGTGGCAGTCAGAGATGCCACCCAAGTCTCATAGCACCAGCCCCTCACTGACCCTCTGCAGGTGGTGAGTCCACAGGAGGACGGCTGCTCTCTGAGTACAATACAATACAATACAATGTATTGTTGTATAGCCCTAGGTCACAACAGAAGTCATCTCAGAGGACTTAACAAAACCATTGAAATCACCAACACAGGTCAGAGAATCAACAGTTAAAACACATGAAGAATATAAAGCACACACAGAAGAAAATGTCCATACATGTTGTAGAATGCTAAAGTGTCCTGATCATCACCAATCCTTTCTGTTGGACACTAACTGTCCAACAAGACCCTCCTGCATCGACAAGGAAAAACTCTTAAAAAACCAAGTGGGAAAAAGTGAGAAACCTTGGGGAGAACTAGGGAAACCCACAGGGAGGGAGACCCATATGAGAAAGGGATCCGCTCCTCCGGACGGACAGGCTAATGATCTAGGACCTAAGCTAGCTACAGAACGTGGACCAGTGGACGCTGAACGTGGACAGGTCCGGTGCAGGACTGAAGCACTCCCAGGCGGGTCGGGCGGGGCAGTCCGCAGGTGCAGATGGAAGAGGCCAGGCTCAGAGATCCCGTCATCGTACCATGAAACAGACAATGGGACAACGGGTGAATAGCAATGAACAAACTACAGTCAGAATCCTAAAAATGCTAAACAGATAAAGTAGGAAGGAGGAGAGGATAGTGCTCAAGTTACCATACTTCTCCCAGCAAACTGACTCCCTATGCAGCTTGACTAACACTCTGAGGAGTTTAACCTTCTCCGAGTCTTACCTTCCTAGCCATATGCTAAACTAAAGAGGACTGTTTTAAACCTAGCCTTGAATAAAGAATAACATACAGCATAATATATAACATAATATACAACATAACACAATACATTATTGAAAATATATAACATAATATATAACATAATACAGCATATATATATAATATATACACTACATATTATATATTACCTAATTATATGCTAAATTAAAGTAAGTGCTTTAAGCCTGGCCTTGAATGTGGAGACCGTATCTGCTTCCTTAACATAAATGGGAAGCTGATTCCACAGTAAAGGAGCTTGGTAGCTAAATGCTCTGCCACCAACAGTGACCTTTGAGACCTTAGGGACCACCAGACGTCTGGCGTTTTGTGAGCGCAACGCTCGACCTGGTTGATACGACACTAACGTGTCTTGGAGATAAGAGGGAGCCAAGCCATTTATGGCTTTATATGTTAAGAGTAGGATTTTAAACTTTATTCTGTACTCCACAGGGAGCCAGTGGAGTGATTTTAACACCGGAGTTATGTGCTCCCTCCTTTTGGTACCTGTTAAGATCCTAGCTGCTGTATTCTGAACGAGCTGGAAGCTCTTCAAAGAGGCTTTAGGGCACGCTGCCAGTAAAGCGTTACAGTAGTCGAGCCTTGAGGTGACAAACGCGTGAATGAGTTTTTCCGCGTCACTTTTAGGAAGGAAATTCCTAATTTTAGCGATGTTCCGTAAGTGGAAGTACGCCGTTTTAGTTGCTTGGCTTATATAAGCCTTGAAGGAGAGTTCTTGGTCAAAAATGACTCCAAGATTCCTCACAGTGTTACTGGGTATTATACTGACATTATCGAGAGTAACCATCTGGTTAGTGAGGGAGTCACGCAGGCGCTTCGGACCGAGTAGGATCACTTCTGTCTTCTCCGGGTTGAGAAGTAGGAAGTTAAGAGTCATCCACATTTTAAGGTCCTTTATGCAGGCACTGAGCTTTTCTAGCTGATCTGTCTGATTAGGCTTCATCGACAGATAAAGCTGTGTGTCATCTGCATAGCAGTGGAAATTAATTCCATGCTTTTTAATAATGTTTCCCAGTGGCAGCATGTAGAGAGTAAAAAGAATCGGTCCGAGTACCGAACCCTGCGGCACACCGAATTCCACTCCAGAATAAGGCGACGAGTCCTGATTCACATTGACGAAGTGATATCGATCTGATAAATAGGATTTAAACCAGCCAAGGGCTGTTCCTCTAAGACCTATATCACATTCTAGCCTCTGCAGTAGAATGCTGTGGTCTATTGTGTCAAATGCAGCACTAAGGTCCAGTAGGACCAGCACTGACACTTGTCCATTATCGGCAGCTAGTAGTAAGTCATTTGTGACTTTGACTAGTGCCGTTTCAGTGCTATGATGAGCTCTGAATCCTGATTGAAAGACTTCAAACATATCATTTTCCTGCAGGTGGCAGCGGAGCTGCTCAGCTATAAGTTTTTCCAGGATTTTAGATATAAAAGTGAGGTTTGAGATCGGTCTGTAGTTTGTAAGTATTTCTGGGTCCAGGTTTGTTTTCTTCAGAAGGGGTTTGATTACCGCGGTTTTAAAAGCTTGTGGGACATAGCCACATTGTATGGATGCGTTTATTATATTTACGATAGGCTCAATTATCAAAGGAAGTATGTCTTTGAAGAGCCATGTCGGGACTGCGTCTAACATGCAAGTTGAGGCTTTTGAGGATGTGACCACAGAGATCACCTCTGCTTGGCTCACAGCCATGAATTTATTAAGGCCCACTGAAGAGTCTAAGTGGGAAGTCACGTATGCCGCTTCAACCTGTCCACCACTAACAGCAGGAGCAACCTCCTCCAGCTTGTCACGGATGGATGTAATTTTATTATTAAAGAAGTGGAGAAAGTCGACACTGCTCAGTGAGCTTGGAATTTTAGGCTCGATTGCGCTATGGCAGTTTGTGAGTTTAGCGACGGTACCAAACAAAAATCTACTGTTGTTTTTATTCGCTTCTATTAAAGTTGAATAGTATTGAGTTCGAGCCCCGCGAAGGGCCTTCTTGTAGTTTCGGAGACCTGCTTTCCACTCCCTGTGGACAGGCTCCGAGTGGGAGTGGCGATATAGCCTCTCCAATTTTCTGACGTCCTGTTTTAAAGTGTGGAGTTGAAACACTGTACCAGGGCGACGATGATCTAATCCTAATGGTTTTCTGTTTTAAAGGAGCTGCTGCATTTAATGCAGATTTTAAAGACTCCATAGTGTTGCCCACCGTTTGGTCAATGACTGAGGGACTGCAGCTGCTGTGAACAGGTTCACCTGCAGCAGTATTCAACATAGGCTGTATTAGTTCTTTGAACCTTGTGATAGATTTATCATTTAAGGTTCTTTTCATTATGGTTTTATCTTGCGGGACAGGAAAGTCCTCCAAAGCGAGATCAAACGTGATCAAGAAATGGTCAGACAGCAACGAGCTTTGACGCTGGATGTCAACATTGGAGACATCACAGCCGTAGGTCAGGACAAGGTCCAAGGTGTGGTTATGAATGTGAGTAGGTCCCTCGACATTCTGAGTAAAACCAACACCATCTAGTACGGCGCTGAAAGCTTTGTTTAAGCTGTCAGTGCTGTCGTCCACATGTATATTGAAGTCTCCAGCTATAACTATGTTTTCCCATTCCAAAACTAGGTTTGAAATGAAGTCAGAGAATTCTGTTAGGAACTCGCTGTAAGGACCAGGAGGTCGGTATAAAACTATAAATAGTACTGCTTTTTGTTTTCTCCACCCAGGACAGGTGATTGAAAGTGTTAAGTTTTCAAACGAGTGAAAAGCGTTGTTGGTTTTGGGACTAAGAACCAAGTTGGTGTGTGATATAATCGCAACACCACCGCCGCGACCTGTAGCTCTGGCT